CCCCCCAACCCGCAGAAGAAAGAAGCGCCCAGGCGGGTAAAGGACAAAATCAGACTTTTGTTTATTAAAAAAATACTTTACAGGAAAAAAATTCTATGCATTCCGCAGGACTATTTTACAAAGAAATAGCTTAACAGCTTGATACTGGTGTACAGTCAGCTACCGACAGCGCGGGGGGGGCGCGGGGCCGCCCCCGCACACACGCGAATGTCAATAAATACACTAAGGCCGCACAAAGCAAACAGTCGTCCAGGCAATTGTACACGTCCTCTGGAGGCAGAGACCTTAGATAAATTAAAACCACAGAAAAAATAATCGTAGCTGCCAATCAAATCAAATTAAATCACGAAACAGCAATACAGGAGTCGGTATCTTTACATGTTGTACAGAGAAATCAGAAAGCGGGTGTTTGTCTGAATGCTCGGGGTGCCCTGGGCACTGCTCAGAGCCCACAGGAAGGGACAGAACGGGCTCTGGGGGAGAGGAAACGATTCCCCCACTCCCCTCAGCCAGCTCAAGGCTGCCCATGCTCAACACTCCTCGGGAACTGCAGAGTTCATCCCTCAGCTGATTCGCACCCCTAACCGGGGCGGTCACGCCCGATAAGAACTTGGGGAAAGCTCTGACAATTTGCCTTGTCCAGGGGAACTGAACTGTAACGTGCAGCAACGCACAGTAGAGCCTCTGTGAAAAGTGTCCCTTATGAATCCCCTGGGAACACGTTGTGGTGCTCCCCCTTCCTGGAAGAGAACGTGGCAGATACCTGCACCAAGCGACCTGGAGCTTGTCTAGAGGAGAGAGGAAACCAAAGCCAGCCAGTATTTCAGCTTTACACTGCATTTACTGGTCCATTTCTAGCACAGCTGAGCCACGTGCCTTTATCCCTGCGATGTTTTAGTCATCAGCACTTGATTTAAAGTCAAGTCTAAGCCTCAGTTCTGTTTCACAGACAGAGCACTTGGGCAGTGACAGCTGTCTCCAGCACAAAGCTGGAGTATTTTCTACCTGACACACATCACAGAGCAGATCCTCATAAATGGAGCATTGAGGATTTGCCGAAATGACCAGCAGCCTTCATATTTAGGAACTGTTCTGTATCTGCTTTCCACTGACAATAACAGAACATTAAGGTGTTGGAATGGACCTTAAAAATCACCCAGTCCAATCTCCCAACTCCCTGCCATGTGCAGGGACACCACCCACTGGGCCAGGCTGCTCAACCTGGCTTTGAAAACTTCCAGGGTTAGGGTATCCACAACCTCCCTGGGCAACCAGATCCTCACCACCTGTCAAATTTCTTCCTTATCTCTGAAATTCCTCCTCTTTTGATTTGCACCCATTGCCTCTTGTCCTGTCACTCAATTGCTGATGAACAGCCCCTCTCCAGCTTCCCTGTAGCCCCTGCAGAGCGTGGAAGGGGCCCTGAGGTGTCCACACTGAACAGCCCCAACTTCCTCAGCCTTAGAACAAGCCATCAAATGTTCCAGAGTTTGATCAGCTCATTAAGGAGCCCACTTTATGAAATCTTGGAGAAATTCAAATAGCAGAACAGGAGATATTCAGAAATATTTACTGGGTTTGTTCTGCTCAAACACTAAGTGGCCTGAACTCATTACTTCCTCTCTAAACTGCTCTAGCTTATGAAATATCAGAGTTCTACAGGTCTTGGGCTGGAAAACATTTGTATTTGTCCCACCAAGGCTTTGGTTCCAGGCAAATGAAGCAGTGGCTGGAGAATGAGCAGCTTCCCAAGCAATTCCTCTCACACTTTACATCCAGAGTTGAGATGGAATTTGAAAGCCTGCCAGTTTGGTTAAAGCACAGCAAAGCTGAGAATGGATTTAGTAAGAGATTCTCAAACAGCTTGTTCCTCTCTCCCTCAGTCTTTCAAAATAGGATAGCATCAGCAACATTCAGGTCATTCAAAGATACCTTTATTTATGTGCATTTAAATCTGACATTAGGTTTTAAGTTAGTAACTGAGCAGAGCACAGAGAGCATGATGCTATTGGTCATGTACCTCCATGCAAGAGGAAGTCAGAGCATTTTCCAGGAATTTCAGGCTGTTGTCACTGATGTCACTAAAGCTACAGCTTGGAAAGTAGCACAAACCACCCTAGTCTTCCTTCATCCATTTGAAAACATGCTATTAGAATTTACAAAGGACTTCCAAATGCATTCTCTCTTCATTCCATTCCAATTTTCCCAAGAAACAGACAGGTTGGTGCATGGGGGCTCTCACTGTTTATGCTGCCTCTGCAGGCTCGCTTGGCCCCTGCAGGTGTGACAGTTCCTGAGTGATCAGTGCTGGCTGCCAGGGAAGGGCCACCCTGGCTGGGCCAGGGAGCAGCACGGGAGAGGCGCAGAATGGGCACGTGGAAGACTCGCAGACTTGGTCAAAAGGAAAGAACACCCCTGGGGAATCTTTGAATGTGAAGGATGAAGTGAAACCACTATTGCCTGTGAGGAATTTTACTTTGCACAACCCTTAAAGCTATGAAATTCCTCTCAACATAAAAAGTGGAAAAAACCCACCAGAGAACTGACAGCTCGTTTCTGAGCCACACTGAGTCATCTAGAATTTCTGCTAAGATTAAATTACACCCCTGCATGAATCACATTACTTCTCATCATAAAAGCTTTCCATTCTAACACCTTATTTACACAGATTACTAAACGAGTCACTACCACTTCAATCTGTAAATTAGTTTTAAATTGAAATATTTCCTAGTCCTCATTTTTGTACCGAAGACAATACATACATACACATAAGGAGTAATACAGGTTCTAACTAATCACTGCAGTATCTTCTGAGGATTATTTCTCTATCAGTTTAAAATAGTGACCTCTACACTGAGGTGCTAATATGTATATAAAAGCCTACACAAACAATATTGCACAAAGTAAGATTTATAATAGAGTAACATATTTTAGAGACCCTTATAAAGAGAAGAGTAATAATTGATATTAAAAAGATGCATCCAGAACTAACACAGCATCTTTGCTTTTGTCTAGTCTAACATAGTGTTTCAAATCTTTCCTACCCCAGTGAGGATTAGAACAAATAAAGTTATCTGGAGACAGCTTAAGTTGCACCAAACCCCAACTTGTACTCTAAATGCGGGGAGGAGGGAGGGAGAGGGAAAAGGGACTTTTCCTTTTGATGACTGGAAAGGGCAGTAATAAATGGGGTGAGTGAAAGTCAAATACAGATTACACATTTACATCCAGAAACATTGAAAGATCGTTTAAAAACTGTTAATAGCTGACACTCTACACATTGAGCATGTGCTGCTGATTTTTCCACAGTAACTGGGCACCCAGGAGCTACACGTGGAAAAAGCAGTCCAACGCCAAAATACTTTTTATTGTGAAATACTAACACAGAACTTACACAGTAAGGCTGTCCTTATTCTAGGAAGTCTAGTATCAGCTCAATGATTATTATATTAAGTGCATCAGTACAAGGGAAAGTCCAATCCATTGGACACGTTACGACCCGATCAAACAAGCTGCCAAGTTGGTTAAGTATTTTAAAGCATTAAAGTGCTCAAAGATAGCAGTTTCCTCCACAAGACTACCGAGAGGTTCTCTAATTTTGACACTAGCATTTATCACGTTCAGGGAAGATGTATTTTGGAAGCAAAAACCCTCACACCAAACAACATAAGCAGTGCTGTGAGAAGTGTTAGGTCAGTAAGTCATTGCATTTCAACAGGAATCAGACACTTGCTTCAGTTCTTTTTACAGGTCACCCTTGTAGGAACTGTAAGAAACATCAATTTCTATAGCTTGTATATAAACCAACATGTCAAGAACAGACATACCAAAAATTCCACAAATCATCAAAAGTGCTGTGCTTTCTCTATTTTTTTCTTTTTCTTTTTTTCCTTTTTTTTTTTTTTTTACTTTTTTAAGCAATTAAAATGAGATGGGGAAGTCACTTTGCAAGTCTTCTACAAAAGCATCACTTTCTGGTGAAGATTAGAGATAAAGTAAAAGTAGGGAAATAACAGTGACCAATGGTGAGTTCAATCATTTCATGTTCCTGGAGGAATTTCAATCTGACTTTGAGAAGATATTCAACATCTCTTCAGTTAAACAGAAAGAAGTGGTAGACCACTGTTACAGGTTGTACTAAGGGGTTAAAATACAACTTGAATTTTGCATAATCTGTGTAAAAAAGATATGCTTGACATTTTGGAATGTCACCTTTCTTTATAGAATTATAGGCAAGATTTCTCCAATAAAACATAAGCCAGTTATAAAACTATAACTTCACATCAAAATTTTAAAAAGTTGTTTAAAAAATGTTTGAATATATACATATCACACAGAAGAGCCTGCATGATCCTGTGGATTGTGTTGCTGATCAGACTCTGTTTTAAAACCTGTAAGGGGCTGGGCCACCTGATCTGGTTGCACAAGTCCTGATATTGAAGAAACAGAGGAGGAGAGCACCCCTGGGGTAAGCTGAATTTCTATACCTGGTTCTTCAGACTCTATCTTTACACTCACACCTTGGGGTTCACCTTCTGCCTCTAGGTTTCCAGGAACATCACTGCTCAGGCTTGAATTGCTTTCTGCTTTTGGAGAAGTCTCCCCCATGGGGTGATACTGTTTGAGTCTGATGTGCCAGGCTAAGCTGCAGACTGCTGACACTGTTTTGAACTGATGAATGACATTTCTAGGGATGAAGTAGATGTCATTGTCACACAACTGAATCCTAGCATAGCGAATGCCTTCCCGTCTCATTTGGTTTAGTTTGGCTTCATCCACCCATTGAACACACTGGGAGAAGGAGAGATGGGAAAGTTAGTGATAAACTCTTCAAACAATTCAGCATCTTCCTGTTTTCAAGTTAATTCATGTCCAAATCAGAATGTTTCTGTTTCATGGGTAAAACTTCAAATTCAAATGAGAACTAGACTTTTAATATACAGTTTCTCAGATATGCACATCTTTAGAGGAGAATTAAGAGGTTTCTATAGTTATAGTTAAAAACTACAAAAATGGGCTGCGTTATTTGGGCTGACAGGACTGAGTTTAGATGCTTCCATAGCCTAAGACATCAGACATTAGAAAAATCAGGAACAGGCACACATGGCTCAATCAACAGATTGTTTCTACAGCACACCCTGGGATCCACAGCATGAACCCCAGCTCAGGGGAAAGGAAAAGATCCCTTCCAACTGAGCTATTTTATCCTGAACTGAGAGAATTATGGGAACTGATGGGATACAAAAGGGCTGACTTTAGGGAGAAGCTGGGATCTGTCAGAAACTCCTCCCAAAACATCAGGAATGAGCTGTCACGAGGGCAGATTTGATACCTGTGACACTGGAGGTTCATGCAGGTCCAGCTGAAGTCTCTGCACAACATCAGTGAAGTCTTCAGCATGAAAACAAACCACATCTTTGGTTATACGAGGCTGGTCACTCCTAGAAAAAAATGAGAATTCCACGAATTTTTAAAGTTTTTGAGTTACAGAGCATTACAGCTCTTCCCAGCAGAAAGCTTCATTGAACCAATGACCTGCTTCAGTGCACAAAGTCTCAACACTTCTCAATAGTGTATTATTTTGAAAAACAGGGATAATTCATAGATTTCTCTTTTTTGTTTCTCCACGCTTGCTCCATTCACAAAAGAAGTGATGTTTGCATGGGCAATATACTGAAAAGCCTGTGAACCAGGTTCAAACTGCCACTATGAAAGTTCTCTGTGTTCCAGGAACCACAATTTGCCTCAATTCTTCCATTCTAAAATTGGACAGAATAATTCTGCATTAAGGGAAAAATGTAAAATTATAAAGTAACACTGAAGTTGAACCTGTGAGGAGTTTTATTCAACAGCAGAGTATACGAAATACTGGCATCTTTTAGTCTAATGATATCACTAATGATGCTATCCAATTTCTACTGTAATTTCTAACTATTAAAATGATGCAAATCCAGTTTCTCTGCAAGGTCAACAGCAATATCCTGGGTGCATAACCTGAGAAAGCACCGCAGCTGTGAAGCTAATTGCACTGAACTCTCAGACTGCAGTTACAAAAGCTAGAATTAACATACGTGCTCAGGAAAAGAATAATCAAGGATGATGGTCCAAGTTTAAGGCTTTTGTACATCACTAAAATATTCTGCAAGCTGCTACTACAAATTTTTTACTGCCTCTAGATGGAAAAATAGGAGGTGCGCAGCTTGAGGTTTTCAGCTCTATGCAGCGTTTGAATCACAGAATCACACAATGAACTAGGTTGGAAAAGACCTTTAAGATTATCTCATCCAACCTATGGCCTAACACCTCTTCATCAACTAAACCATAGCACTGAGTGCCACATCCTGGCTTTATTTTTAAACACATCCAATGAGTCCACCACCTCCCTGGGCAGATGATTCCAGTGATTGTCTCATTATAGGGTTTAAACTGTTTCTGATTAGGTTTGTTTTGCAAGGAATTATTTTTTTTTTAAAAGAATAGCTGCATTCCAGCAGCACTTACCATTCCCCAAACTGCACAGCCTTGAGCACCCCGACAGCAGCTGTGCTCTGCCAGTCAAAGCCCTGCCCCACATGGTCAGCGTGAGCTCTGGTCCTGTCCTCAAACAGGACCTCACGGGGCTCGCTGGTCCGAGGTAGGTACTGCAGGTTCTTGATCTCGTTCATGGACCTGCAATGGGATAAAAACACACTAAAAATGTCCCTGTTGCTCAAAAATTAACATTTGTACTGAAATAATCTTGAAATAGTGGGTGCTGCAGGATTCCAAGGAACAAAGCATTTCCTTGATTTTTTTCTAGGTGTTTATTTGGTGAAAGATTGAAACAGAAGTAGCAAAGTACAATTCAGCTTATGAGATCAAACTTCCCAAAACAAATCAAATCACATAATTTTTGTGTTCGCTTGTGCTGAAAGACTTCCTCCAAGAATGTATTGGTATTTGAAATAGAGCTATCCTACAGAACCTGAGCTTCAGGTATTTGGGAGTACATCCAAAAATTCTTGAAATGACAATTAAAATATGCTTTCAAATTTCCTGAAATTTGTCTTAGAGCACTCTTTCAGGGACAGAAAGCAAGCACACACAATAATTCCTGAGCAGGCAGTGTTACAAGTGCTTTAGCACTGACTGCACTCTGATGCAGCATAAGCAGTAGAAGGATCTCTGCTGTTTTACAGCATTCCACCTGCTCTCACCACCAAATTGGTCCTTCCCACAGAAATAAGACTAATTAAGCCTCCTGAAGGATAATAAAAGGAGGTTTTAATCTTAAAGCACTGATCTAGGATATGTGAGAAGTACTGAAAGAAGTTGTGAAATAAAATACCCATCACAGGTAATGTTTGCTTTGTCTGCTGAGCCAATTTGAAACAAAGTGAAAGTGAAACTTAAATCTGAATTAGTCCTCTGAAAAGCCAGTTGCACATCAATCACTTTGCTTTTGTTCTCAAATCTGACACAGACTTAACTGCAATGTTTTTCCTCAAGTACAAAAGGAAACCCAAACTGTACCGGCGCCGTTTGAAGGGTGATTTTGGCATATCAGCTGTGGGGATCATCTGCTCTCCCGGCCTCACCCACATGATGGGTCCATCATCACTCTGGGACCTGCACTGAAGTCTGAGACTGGAAAGAGTCCCCCAGGGCAAAGTCATCTAAAAGAAAATAGGAACAGAACAACCCACAAAACACACATAACACAAAACACTGGGTAAGATAGAAAAATTAAATGATGCCTTTGGTAAAACTGGTTCATATCTGCTGTCAGAAGAATTGCATAGAAACTAAGTAAGTTTGAGAAGAAAAAGATATTCCAAGCTAATTTTGTCAAGCATAGTTTTTAGGGAAGTAGAAGTGCATATATATATAACAAACTTGATTTTTTTTTTTAATTAGCCACCTTATTCCTTGCCTTTGGACACAGGAAAGAATGAACCTCAGTAGCCCAAATAAGCACACCAATAAAGAAAATACCTTACAGTTTCTAATTACTTGGAAATCTAACAATTGCTTAAATATCTACAGTGCTCTGATCACAAGTTGCTGCTTACTCTAAGAAATGGAGATTCTTCCAACATATCTAGGAATTCTGGGAAGTAGTCCCCAACTTCTTCATCCACTGCTCCCACCAGGCTGATCTGGCGCATGGGTCCTGCTCTGTAGGTGCCACAGCAGTACGTCCGATTGACCTGAAGGCCAGACAGGAGACACAACACCACCACAGCTTTAGTTCTCTCACAGGAGATTAAAACTAACTAATCTAACACAGCTGGGATCAATCTTGGACTCATCTACACCTGTTTCAGCAGCTGTGCCTTTAAGAATACGCACAGGGACTGTTTAGAACAGAAGGGAAAGAAAGGACTCCTGCTTGTACACCTGACAGGAAATCCTTCTGAAGTTTGAATAACAGCAAGTGAATATTTGACTAATTCAGGAACAATTCAACACTTCCAGGCTGACTTGAGAAAACAGCCACACAAGGTTTCATTGTGACTCAGTCTTTCTCCAGCAAGCTTCAACTCTCCACTAGTTTGTGCAGTTGGACTGTTGCTTCTACATTTCAAACCGGATGCTCCTGGGACATTCCTCATTTCAGCCCTGTCCCTGAGGTCCTCCCCCTGGGACTGCAGTGAAAAACCTCAGTGTCCTTCCTGCAGTGGTTCTGGTGGTGCTATTATAGTATACAGAGAACACTGGGCAAAAAGCAGAGGAAATGAGAGGTTTAGCTGGAAAGCCAGTGCTCACGGAGAAGAATTTTAGGATAACCATTTGCAGCAAAGCCTACTGTCAGTGCTGGGGCCAGAAACACTTTAATCTCAAACTCAAGGACATCCTCTAGAACACAGACTGTCCCACCTTCCAGGGCATCTGGAAACTTTTCTTGCCAATTTCCTGTTCCCAGAGGGGAGCCATGGGCAAACTCCAGTGTTCTGTAGCCTCATCCTATGGACTGCAGCTGGAAGATGCCACTGCCCACAGAGGAGGTTCTGTGTAGACAGCACAGCTAAATGACACTATAGAGCACAAGCTCTATACAGCACAAGTCTGTTTTGCACACTCAATTGTGTCTGAGCCCCAGCCTTCAGTGCTCTAAAAAACTCCAGCTGTTCTCCATGACTGAGTGGTGGGACAGTACAGACAATTACTGGTAAATCTTCAGTTTAACAGTCATATTCACACAGTGTGATGCACTTTTTAACTCCACTTATAGATACATGGGTGGAGCAGCTTAGCTTTTAGTTTCAGTTTTGCATGTTTAGCCAGCAAACCAGATGTCATTAAACTAGTCCATGGAGTTGTTAAAGGTAAATTAGGAGAGACTAATAAAGGAAGAATAGAATTACTGCTGCAATTTTATCCTCCAGCAGAAGCCATAGATATTTCACTTCTTAATTGCAGGAGTTTAGCTCACTCTATTTGCTGAATGCAGTTCAGAGCAGGAGCACTGGAACACCTCAGCAATATTTTAGTTCTGTGCACCTACAGACAAACTGAGGACTGAAGGGCCCTGGTCCTTCTCCAGTGAAGCTTAACTGCCTGGCACCGTTTATGTAAGTGGAGACAGACTCTTTCCAGATGAGTTCTCTGCTACTGAAACCACCTGGTGAGAGTCACTGGTATTTCACAGGTGTTGGCATGAGTTAAAATAAATTAGAATTCCATAAGCAGTTTCTCCTTGTAATGTTTTCAATGGAAATGAAAAATGAGAAGTTTTAACTATTTATTTTTAATGCACTGGAACAATGAAAAAATAATCAAGAACTCAGGAATTACACAGGAAAGAGTATAAATACTTTAGGGAAACATTGGATTTCAATGCTTTGTTAGTTTTTAATAGAAATTAACGGAATATAACAGACTTGAGGATTAAACCTAGGACATATTTACACCGAAAACATGTACCAACCCACAGCAATCCCCAGCAGGCTATACTATTCATCTCAAGCACCTCAATCACAGGGGATGTAGCCTGTTTATGGCTAGTTTAATATGCCATAAAAAAACCTCCACAGTTTTTTTAAAACTGCTTCTCTCTCATTGTTAATTCCTTCTAAGCAGCAAACACCAACACCACCAGTTAGGCCAGTAGTCCAAGAATATGATGTAATGAACATCTGAAAGAACAGGCACCTTGCTCTCACTTTACAGCTGGGTGGTTTTAGTGTCCCATGAGCAAGCACCCTCCTGGCTGTACTGCAAACTCTTTGGCCTTGCATTCACCAGGTGCTCCAGATCCCCTCTGAGCTCTATTCACTCCACAGCCACCTGCCTGCACCCCTCATTGCAGGAAGAAAGCTGAGGTGATGAAATAGCTGAAGTCACTTTGTTATGTCCACTAGGATCTCTCTCAGTGTTTTTTATTTTTGTTTAAAGTTCAGCTCTTGTTTAGGAACTTAGGAACTTGGGGTCACTCCACTTCATATGACTGCCAGAAGTCAGTAACTTATTACCGCAGCACCTCCCTTGCTATAATTTGTTCCCTGTGCTGCTTTAAAAGCAGCAGTGGATCACAAGCAGTCACTGCTACTGTTTTTACTGTTGCAAAAAGGCAATGGGGCCAGTAAGACCACTCAGGCAGCCTGTGCCCTTTCAAATGCCACCCAGCCATCACTGCCATGCGTACCCCCCACACTGACAGTGAGATGGGCACGTTTAAAATTAGCTCTTGAGTGCTCATGGAGACATTTTCTCTCAGCTGCACCTTGTGCCTATCAGTGTTTCCCACACTTGGGTGAGAACAGAAGCAGGCTGAGGCAGTGTTTCCTGTCAGAGGCACAGAGCTGGTGTTTATTTGCATGCTCCTGAGCCACCCCAGCCCCACCACTGGTTAAGTGAGCAGCACAGGGTGAGAAGAGGACACACGGATGAGGCATCAGCTGGAGACAAATGAAATTAAGTCTCAGAAGTTTCTCTCCAGTTGCAAGAAAAGGATGAATCAGTTGACAGCAACAGTATTTCAGTATGCCAAGTCAGCTATAAAACCAACCACACAAACGCTTGGCTACAAGGAAGAAAGCAAGAGCAGAAGGCTGGTTCCCGCTGAAGGACATGCCAGCACAGAAAGGGTGACATGTTTGACTAAAATCTGACATCATGCAGGATCACTGGGCATTGTTTGTATGGCTTTAGTGACAAACCAAATGAAGTTTGCAATTCAGATGCACAATTTCTCCACTTAATACTTTAGTAGCTACTGCAAAAAAAAGAAATTACCCTTCCAGAATCAGAGAAGTTCACATGGGTCAGACAACCAAGCTGTGATGTGGTTAATGACCCAAAGCTGTCAGGGGCAGAGTAACCTGTTCCGAGCAACAGGAGTAAGAAAACTTACCCAGTTATCACCTGTTGGCTGCTTCTCCCACCTTCTTCCCAGAAGAAACAGCAGCTTATGGAAAACCTACTTCCCCAATTCTCTTTCCTGGCCTCTTCCCAGAACCCCCACACACCCTCTGTGACAGCCTAACTGTTCTTTGGATCACAGAGTGAATTCATCAGGCAGAGAATTGATCAGTTGGGAAAAAAAGAAGTGTTTTTTAAACTCTAAACATATTCTCATTCACTGAGTAGAGGCAATTGTACTGAAACAAGCGATAAGGAAAATAAGAGTTCATTCCAGCTGCACCACAAAGAGTTTCCATATTAGTGTGCCCTTATGTGAGGAAAGCTTACTGCTCAGTGATTTGAGTCTTGAAAGCTCTCAGACCAAGTGCACAGCTCCACACTAAAGGTGAGCTGCAGTACTTCAGTGTTAGAACCCATGAGTGCCAATGCAAGCAAAGAACCCACAGGACATTAAAGCTGAATTATTTTAAGATACTGAAACCAAACACTTATGTAACAAATACATATTGGAGTGCTTTGCTATAAACTCACTGCACTGAGAACGAAGGAATTCACCTTGCAAAGCAGTTAATTATCACTAGATTTACCAAGTCCTTTAGATTAAAGTCCATATTTTGAACACTGCAATTCAGTTTCACTAAAAACACAAAACAGCTGAATGTCATGCAAGCCAAAGATCACATTAACGTGCAGTTTACAGAACAAATTTAGATTTCTTGACACTGAATCTTCAGGATTCAAGACTCCCTAATGCTCCAGACCCCCTCAGCACAGGTCTGTGCAGCAAACAAACTCATGCACAGAGAACAAACCTAGAACAGAGGCAACTTAATTATAAGTAATCAGTGTTACAGCATACAATAGTGCAACATGTTTAATCTGCAAACGCACAACTATGAAGTGCTTCTGCACTGTACAGTTCTTGTACAGAAGAGTGAAAAGTGAAGCTTGGCCAATCTGTTCATCCCTCACCAGATCTGCCAAGGAACACCAGCCCAACAGCCAGGTTCATCACTCAGGCCCTTGAGCAGGGCATTGCAGCCTTCTCCATTCCAAGACAAGCCAGCCTGCGAAACTTGGGTGAATCCACTAGCAATTCCAATGTTTCCTTCAGCTTTTCCATCACCTGTATTCTCTGGAGAGCCCTGCTCCAGCTGCCTGTGATAGCTCCCCTGCTCTGTTTGCTCAGGGAGAAGTGCACTAACACACTTCAGCCAGAGAGGATTAACCAGGTCATGCTGGAGCTGGGTTTAGAGAAGTGGTTTAGACCAACTGAACCTTATGTCATGACTCAATCAAGTTTAGACAGTACTTAAAATAGAATTAATTGAAGTACCAGCAGACTATAAACCAGCAAAGCCTCTTATTTATTACATTCCTCACGTGTATTTATAGTGCCAGTATTTGTGTTCACAAGACATTCACTGAGAAAAAATGCAATTGTTAAACATTCCAGAGGCTCTGTTTAGCCATTTCAGGGGTCATCACATATACTCAAGCCAGAACGCAATCAGGACACTAAAGAACACAGATAAATCCCTAATACAGAAGACTTTAAAGCCTGATCTGTGGACACATCTGCAGCACACAGGTGTGTGCTGTGCAGAAGTGCTATTGCCCGCAGCAGTGGTTCAGAGACTTTTTGGGGTACTCTGCACCCAGACACAGCATAACTAATTACTTAAATCAAGAAACAGAAGCTGGTTGAAGTAAGCGCTGCAGCAGAAAATCACTGTCAAACAAAAAGCCAAGTGTCAGAATTATTCATTTAATGCTATTCAGAGACTCCACAGCAACCAAGCAGTAATTTTCTGTAAAGGAGTAATTGTTTTTCCAATGCAAATCTTGTTTATAAGCATTTGGTAAACCCTGCAGAGACCCAAATAGCCCATCAACAAGCACTGACACTCCAAAGTCTATTGTTAATGCTGTGTTCCTATCCTACTGAACTGAACACCGCTACACTTTCAGATTTATCCTCCCAACAGGTGAACTAGTAAATGTAATTAATGTCTCAACTAAAGACCTTAAAGGTAATCAATCGTTTGGATCCATTTTCAGACTAAACAGAAAGAAGCTTTATTCCATCAAAAAGAAATTTATCTAAGCTGTAAGCTTGTGGTATACTCATAGATACTTCTGAGCTTGATCACAAGACTAAAATGCCAGAGATTTTCAGATAGGAATCTTAAAATTAGCTCAGTTTTTACTGTTGCATCCATTTAAGTTACATGGAGATACAGTTTCAGAATTTAGTTTCAGCGTAACATGGAAACAAAGGGAGTAAATAAAATGAAACTCCTTTTCCAAGGCAATATAAAAGATACTCTAACAACCTTCAAGTTAGAAAGTTTAAGCAGGATAAGGCATTGAGGGAATTAAGATAATAAAAACCTTGTGAAACAGATATACTGAAACGTGAAAAGTAACATCATTGCAAATAACCCCCAAACTCCAAGACCCTGAAAACAAACCCCAGCTCTACTGACTTGAAAAGAAGCACTAGCATTTGCAGTCCATGTAACTCCTGACAAAGACTTGGCTGTTGTTTTGAACAATCTCAGTATTTTCCCAAGTTTAGAAGAAAAATATGCTCAATGCAGATCTCTCCGCAGGTCACAGGTAGCAGTGTCTGAGGCATGATTCACTAGCTACCTGGGAGCACAGAAAAGCTTTACGCAGATGCAGGAATAGACAGCACAGTAGTGTAGCCCTAACATCACTTTTCTTCATCTTCATTAGAAAATAAATTTGTGACTTTGCGTATTTTAAAGCATATCTGCTCTGGGTTACTGAGATTAATCAACTCTAGGTATTGTGCAACATTTATGCTTTTGAATAGTTCTTACCTGAGAGTGAAAATTTGAAATTGTTGTTGTTTCAATGTCCTTCTTGCCCAAAATTTCCATTTTCACTGGAGTATTTGGAAAGTTAAAAGCAAAGTAATCCAGGAAGTCTGGTAAATAGGCAGCTGCTCCGTGCACTATGGCTAAGGCATAGTATGCTGCATTTTTATCATTTTCACTGAATGACAATGCAAGAAACTCTTCTGCAAATCTCTCCATCTCCACTGGAGACAAAAATGAGAGTTCATCCATGTAAGCGTGCAGGACCAGGGCACCTCCATTGGACTGATGCTCCTCGTGAATGAAGTTACTGAATTTAGTGCCAGTCTTCAGGAAGCTGCTGCGGACAGAGTGCTCCTGGTGTGTCACAAAGGGGGTTTGTACTCCCTGGGGTATCCGGTATTCCTGCATGCCCAAGTTCAGCCTGCACAGCTGCTCATCCTTCAGGTACCTGAAGGATTCCTTGTTCATTTCCAGGTTGTCACACTGTCCTTGAGACAGAGTCTCCTTGTCAATGCGAGTGAGCCCAGCACACACAGTCTGCACCTCTTTGTTGTACATCTTCAGACGTTTTCCCCTCACATCTTCCCGGTGTTTCTTTTTCTTTTTTTTCTTTATTTTCTTCATAATAAGACTGTCAGCTCGCTGGGTTTTGCCATTTTCATCTGGAGTTTCTGGTAACAACAATAAAGAGAAGATTAGAGTTCTGCAGTTGCAGCATATTCACCCCAAAAGAATTCAGGCCTCTCACTTGCTGAAGGGATCTACTCCCAGGGAGACTGACCAATCTTAAAACACTTTTAAGATTAACAAAAGCATTTTTGGTTGTATAATTCAGTCAAAAGTCAGGCTATCTATAGTTATACAAATAAAGCCTTGAGTTAATGAAAACTTCCAAAATTCTAGCTTAATATTTAGAAATACTTCAATTTAAACAGATTTATGAGAATACCTTTAAAAGGAGTCTGTATTTCAGAACATCTATAATTAAACACATTAATAACTTCTGACATTTAAGGCAGTGCCATACAGGGAAAGAGGATAAACAAGTATGTGTAACATTTAAACATTAAGACTTTCATTACAGAACACTTCCCTGCTTTTAGACAGGTGATACAGAAGCAAACAGAGTAGCACTGAAGAGCTACAAGCTTTACTTACATTTAGAGGTAAAAACACTTAAGTAAATCTTAGTTTGCTGATCTTTTAAAATTAAAGGACCCAAATCATCACATCAACAGATTCAGTCTTATAGTTAACAATTCAGTTGAGAGAAAGAAATTAAGAGCCTGTTTTAGTTGTTCCACCTTTTTTTGAGGTTAATCAACCTCCAAAATGCTGAGAGATAAAATGTAAAGGAGTAGTTCTGTCAGGCAAAACGGAACAGTTTAAGTTCTTATTTCAAGAATAAAAACTAATTTAAATAATGTTTAGCAAGGGACAAAGGTAATTAGAAAAATTGATGCTCCAGCTGTTAAAAACTCAAATTGCCAAGACAAGATTTTAACGTGCCTGAATCAAAGAACCATTTCATCCAACAATGCCCATAAATCTCCTGGAGATGTGTTAGCAGGATAGCCATGGGGATGAGCACAACCTACAGCTGAAGGCGACACCTGACCAAAGATGCAGTAACTAAAGTTTTACCGTTTCCCTTCAGCACAGGGCTTCGTCCTAATACAATTTCCTTTCTTTGGCTACACACTGGTATTCCCTCTTTATTCTCTTAGAGCACTTAAGTTAAAGAAAAAAATACATGTTACACTGTTTTATGAGGAAAGGTGTAGTGATAAACACAGGCAGCTCCAGGTTCTTTAGTGTAACCAGTGTTTAACTGGATCATTACTGGTTTGGTCTTGGAGCTCCTTACTGGAGAGGGTTGACCTTCATAACAGCCTGGAGTAAGGAACAGAGTTACTCATGAAGCAAAGAAAGAGCCGATTGCTTAATCCTCACTTTGTACAATAGTCTTAGGACCTGAAATTCAAGTTTTCACTCTGCTGCTGCAGCCCTTGCAAACAGTAAAGGCCCTGATCTTTCTATTTCAGAGAAACCAGGAAAAGCAGGGTGGTATCTCTTGTTCCAGGAAGTCAACTGAAACGGTTCTTGGAATGAGGTTTTCTGCAAGACTTGGATGTGAGGGGTGCATGGTTTGCTCAGTCACTGGGCTCTCAAGCACAGACACTGCTTTACTCACTAACTGAACATGCAATTCACACACCAGGTATTTGTCCTGGTGAGACCAGAGATCCCAAGCTGAAACTAAAAAAGAATTTCATGCCCCACTGAGGTGTTGGAAATACTTTCCTATGCACGTTTCTAAGAACATTTGGTTGTTAAAGGTCTCTTATTTTAAGCATTTCTGATTCTAGGTATATTTTTAAAACCTCACACATTTTAATTCAAAGTATCTTCCTGCCATATCCTAATAACAGACAGAGGAATCCTTGCATTTGGGAGCTTCCAGTGAACACTTGTCTGTTTTCTGGATAAAAGCTATCCTGGCTGCTGCTGGATACACTCAACACAGCAGAGCCCCACTATTACAGTGAGTAACTACTGTATTCAGTGAAGCTAAACATATACGGCATAATAATGCCTTGCAATCTTGAAGGAAATATTGTTTTAATTATTTCTTTAAATAAACAGAAAGCCTCCAGCACCTCAAACACAAAAAAGCTGTGAATAGGTCACTAAACTATGGGCTCAGTAGTGAGGCATAGTGACAGCAATGCCAATAACTCAGCTACTCTAAAATGATCAGACATCCCACAAGAGAACCAGAACCATTATTAAACAGCAAAAACAGTGGGGGTGGTCACTGTCACCTGGGGCCACATATAGGTAATTTAATTTGACTATAGATCAAAATAAAAACTGATATTCAGGAAAAGAAATACAGCCCCATCCCTAAAGGCACTACCTCTACAGCTGCAGACAGGCAGTGCTCAGATGAGCAAACAGCATTCCCTTGCAAATCTGGAATTCTGATGCTCATTTTCACACTGTTTAAGCTTTCATTAAGAGGCCTAATTTAATTCTGGGTTAGAACTGACACAGTGACACTCCATTCTACAAAGTTATACTGCTCCAAACTTTTGCTTGATAAACACTGCTAAAACCACACAGGTTAACAACGAGGAGCTTTTATAATCATTATTCAAGCACAGTGGTGTGGAAGCATTAACCAGTGGAGAAAAGCCTCTCCCAGTAATAGTGCTGTCTGTTCTTAAGACAGTCCTATCTAGAGTTTACTCTACAGACACTTGATTTCTGTAAGCAAGTGCATCTTTGGTTTTGTTGGCACAAAACCTGCCCATACACTCCTCAAATATAATTCACCACATTATATTTTTAATTACAGCAGCTTTTGCAGTTATTTTTTATCTATTTTGCTCTCTCCAAGAAGATTTTTACTATAACAAATCTCTGAGCAGAACTGAAACAATCACTCTGTACTGTTAAAAAAAAATAAACAAAGCCACACACAGCACACACCAAAATCCAGAGATATTTTGGCATTTCAATGAAAGAAAACACAGAATAATTTGGATCGGAAGGGACCTCTAGAGACTGGCAAGGCAGGGTCACCTGGAGCAGGTGACACAGGTTTGGAATATCTCCAAGGACCTCCCTGGGCACCTGTTCCAGTGCCCTGCCACCCTTCATTGAAAGAAATTCTTCCTAATGTTGAGGAGGAACTTCTTGTGTTTTAGTTTATGGTTATTCTGCCTTGTCCTGTTGCTGGGCACCCCTGAAAAGAATCTGGCACCATCCTCTCACACCCGCCTTGGAAATATTTGTATGGAATCATGAGATCCCTTCTCAGGACGCTTATTAAAATCAACAGTTAAAAAAAAATAAAATAATAATAATAATAAAAATAAAAAAACAAAAAAAGCAAACCAGCAGCTCCTCACACGTTAATGCAAACACAGAGGGCAGAAACCTTCATTCCCACAGCACTTGCACGCTGAACCTACGATGAGGACGATTCTGACAGCAGCAGCAGCGCACCCACCCCGCGCTCCGTCCCCGGGCCAGTACCGCCGTGCCCGCTACGACACGGCCGGACCAGGGCCGCCGAGCCCGCTGCGCTGCCGCCGCCCT